CAGATGTTATGTACCAGGGAAGAAAGAATTGAAGGCAGCTATTCTTCTAATAATAATGTGTTTATACTGGCAGCTTCTGCCCAAGTCTCTTACAGGTCCAAGGTTACTTTTGCCGTGGCCCCCAACATGTTTGGCTGTGGGTTTGTATCTGCATTTACTCCCATCAGTTGCTGCATGATAACTCCTTGATGTCGATGGGGATAGGCTCCAGTCTATGAGTATAGCAAAGTATCTGAAGAACACTTTCAATGCGGCCTTCACCTTAAGACTTAGAAATACTTGGCCTACTTGGCTGGGTGTAGTGGTGCTCACGTTTAGTCCCAGCACTCTAGTCCCAGCACTGGGGAGGCAGAGGCAGGCAAATCTGAGTTTGAGGCCAGCCACAGAGAAACCCTGTCTTGAAACAGCCCCCACCACCGCCAAAAAAAGGAAAAAAAGATTTAGAAATACTTTGTATTAAAGTCTTATCTTCACTCTCTCCTGGGAAACTTCAATTACCATGGATTTTCAAAAAAAATCCTAAAAGGCTTCCTGTGTACAGCTGAGATTTCTGACTCTTTTTCTAAGCACTCCCCTTACTCCCACCCCCTCCCTGTCTTTCTAGCTCAGCCCCTTTGCTAGGGTTATCTTGCTAGGCTGATAGGCATGCCAAGAGGAAACCTTTGTGAAACAATTGTGAATAGCATAGTTCATTCCAAGCAGAGGCTGAGTTTAGGACAGCAGCTTCCCTTGAAAAGATTTCTGTGTCATGATGTGCATTTTAATGACCTCTTAGTTCACAAAAATAACAGCCCAGGGACACCTCTACTGTGAAATGTGTGGGTTTTTCCACATAGTACCCTAAAGACAATTTTGTAAGCCTCTCTGGTTGTGAATGAAGGGACCACTTTCGGCAGTCATAGCAGCGGAACACGTGCTTGTATGACCTTGTCCTGGACACTAGAAAGTCAGATGCCTGCCTCGTGACAAGGAACCAATCAGAAGTTAGCTGGTGGCGCTATGCTTTATGACCCTGGGTGTGCTTTACGGACAAGCGCACAGCAATGACGCACAGAGCATAGCAACCACCCTGGGAGGGCCTATGGGCCATAACAACCAGTTGACCAATCAACACAGGGCAAACCCTCCAAGGCTGGAGGCACACCAATAGTGAGCCTGTGCGTATCCTAGACACTCCCCTTACTCTGCCCTACAAGATCTGTACGCAGCGGGTTCGAGCTGTCTTTGCTAGCCATCCACCATGGCAGGTGGATGAAAGACCTGAGCTAACATGGGGTTAGCTCGTTAAATTACAATAAAGCCTCATGCAGTTTGCATCAAGCTCTCGAATCCGCCTGGTGATTGGGGTGACCTCGGTCGTGGCCTGGGACCCTGGATACCTGAGTTTTCCGGGGGTCTAACAGTTGTTCATGGTTTTTTTTTCCTCTCATTGGACTTTATCATTGTTTACTAGTCTGAGAGTCCTCAAGAAGTCCCCCAAAGACCACCAGTTGTGATGTAACCAGCAAGAGCGTTTATCGTACCATATGCATGTGGGGTCACATACCTCTACAAAATGGTGACAATGTGTAAGCTCCTTTTAAGCACAGCTATGGGAGTTTTAAAAGCAATGTGACCATCCTACTTATGATTGACCTACACAAGTGGCAATCATTTTAGTACATTTCTAATTGGTTATGGCTAGCAGGGGTGGGCTAAGGCTATAGGTGTTCCATTCTTAGGCAAGTCTGGACAAGTCTCAGGCTTTGTCCTTATTTGGTTATCACATGTGGTGGGGAGGGGTGTTGGTGATTGACTTCCCTTTGCTTGTGAACTGAGGCCTAGTTCTTAACTGAGTTATCAGGGGCCTGTCATGATATTTGCCTGGCCCTCTCAAAAGTAGCATTACCAAATAATTCCTAATTTTTCAGTAAATAATGATGATGATAATGAAATGCTGCTAGAATTTTTGTAAAGTTCTAGACCAGCCTTAGTTATTAGAGTAGCTTTAGTGTTGTCTCTCCTTATTCCAAATGTGGCAGTGGCTTTTTTTCTTAGCTTCTAGGGGTCTTACAATATGAAAGCTAAACACTGGGATTTCTGCCTAGCAGGCATTTTTGTGCTATTTGTTTCATTATTATAATCGGCATTGTGCATGGAAGGGATATGGCTAAATTCTGTTAAATATCAAAAAAAGAAATAGGAAAAATTGAATCAGTGTGCCTCTGTGGTGGGAAAGGACACCCCTAGTAGCCTTATGGTTGTTGGATGACTATCCCAGTGTGAGAGGCAAGGTGTCTCCCTGCTCGTTGTAGATTAGGAGGTCTGTGGATCTCCAGGCAATACAGGGTATTGTCACTGTGTTTGGTTGCAACTAGATAGTGAGTCCATGTAATAAGACATGGAAAAAACGAGGGTCAGTTGAAAGCTCCTTCCCTACTGGTTAACATTTATAGTGCTGGAAAAGGGGGAGAACTGCCGGAAATGGTCTTGTTATCAGCACATGCCAGGCTAGTTAGTTCTGCTGGCATGATAGTGGCATAGCTGTGGGTACAACTAACTGCTTTCTGGTTGAATGTAAAGCCAACTTCACAGAGAAGAACCCAGGTTTGGTACTATAAGTGAGCCAAACCCTGTGGCAGGGGAGTCACAGGCTTTGGAGGGGAGTCTACTGCTATTGTGTTAATTTGATGCACATGTATGTCAAATGGTCTTCGAAGCATGTGCATCCATACCCAAAGTGTACTGCTTCTGTCAATCACTGTTGAGAAGAGGAATTTTTTTCCAGTGGACAGTGGTTACTGTGGAGACTCATATCTAACCAATTTGTTAAGAAAATGTGTACTACTCTTGGTCTATACTACTGACATCTATATTTCTCTGGTACGTGGCTCAGGGAACATTTTGAGAATTGTGTGGATGTAAGAACTGGAGGAAGAGGCAGAATGTTGCATTATTATTTACTCCAGATTGAAACATTGCCTTGCTGGGGTGAAAGAGACACTCCTGAAACTCTCAAGAAAGCTGAAAGTCCCACAAGTCCCTTCCCCAGGTTTACATAAGCAGTTAACGATTAATTATGCTTAGGAACACTTTGATGATGTAGCTTCTTACAGGCTGTTCTATGAACCCAATGATGCAGCCTCCATAGTCATTACCCATGTCAAGGAGTGATGGGGGATGTCCTTCTGTACATATGTTTCTCTTATTGGTTGATGATTGGCCAGTAGCCAGGCAGGAAGTATAGGCAGGGCTACCAGATGAGAATTCTGGGGAGAGGACGCAGAAAGAAGCCACCAGGAAGACACCATGTAGCTGCCAAAGGAGTAACAGGTCCGGGCATTCTCCGGTAAACCAAGACCACATGGAGATACACAGTTGAATAGAATTGGGTTAATAATTAAGAGAGAGCTAGCCAGTAAGAAGCTTAAGCCATCAGCCAAATAGTTTATAATTAATATAAGCCTATGTGTGTTTATTTGGGGCTAAGCGGATGTGGGACCAGGTGCGACAGAAACTCTGTCTACAAAGGTGGCCTTTTGGTCTCCCACAATGATATAAGTAAGTCATCATCTTTGCTGCCATAAACAATTCTGATTACTTCATTGTCTGATCAAGATAGACTGCAGGAGTCATTTGTTTTCTTTGTCATTGTGTAATATCCTGAGGTAAAGATGCCATTGTTCTAAATCTCCCCAAACAGAGACTCTGGCCCTAATGGAGGCCACCAGTGAGAAGCCAGAGTTTGCACTGTGTTACCATGAGCCCAGGACTCCCATAACCTCATGATGAAATGTTGTCATTGTCCCAGTTACCCCATCTATAACTCTCATCAGTTTCTGCCTCACTAGTTTCAGCAGTTGACTCTACATATCCTGGATCCATCATCTGGCAGAGTCTCAGTTGAGGGATTGCCTAACTGATTTGTGGGCACATCTGTGAGTGATTGTCTTAATTTATGAAGGGTGAGGAAGGACTCAGCCTACTGTGGGCAGCACCAACCCTAGGTAGGTGGGCCTAGGCTGGATAAGAAAACTAGCTGAGCAAGAGTGGGGAACCGGTTAGCAAGCAGCAGCCTCTATGGTTCCTGCTGTACTTTCTTGCTGTAAGTTCCCTAGTTAGAGCCGATGCGGCATGGGCTAGCAAGCCGTCCTGCCTTGAGTTCCTGGCCGGACTTCCCCCAGTGACGGACTGTGGCCTGAAAGTGTAAAATGAAATATGCCCTTTCTTCCCCTAAGTTATTGTTGGTAGAGTATTTTTACCACAGCAACAGAAATGCACACTAGAATAGGTTTACAAAAATCCAGAGTCCAGATGTGTTCTAGATGAGGAAAAACCATTACAAGGACAGCAACTACCAGGAAACACTCCTTTGTCATTCCCCAGGTCCCCTGGAAGTGCTCCTGGAATTGCTGTTTTTAATCACAGGTCCTTCTGGGTTAGGGACATCCAGTGTGAGACAATGTCAGGCCTATATTAGTATGTCAGTGCTAGAGATGAGGCTGCAGAAATGGCAAAGAGTCTCCAAAACACCAGCACACAGCTCTGTCTTATTCATCCACGAAGCTTGTAGGATGGCATGGTCAAGCCTGAAGCACTTAAATTCCTGGAGTCCTTAGTCTTGGGACTGAGACAACTCCAGCCTTGGATCCCATGGGCAATAAATCTAGGACACTCTAGTCTCATGCCTTCTTCCTGGACCCACAGAAACACTCCATACATGGCCTCTACCCGGTCATGTTGGCCCAGGAGACTGGGTCTAGTCAGTGTCAGCATGGGCCACACATGTTGGTCAGGCCATGAAACTACCCCACTGCGCGTCAGTGGTCACTGACAGCCTTCTGCTGGAAGTTGATTTTGGAAGAAATGGAGCACTCTATTGTCTGTGTTCTTCACCCACCATCAAATAAACAGGATTCCAATGAGCATGACAAATATGCCTTTATGATCCACTGCAACATTAGGGTTTGCTTGGGATAGCACAGTGAACCGGAGGCTGTCGGATGCATAGGGAAATTAGATCATAGCTCACGTTCCTGAGCCGTAGGGAGTGGGTACCTGAAATGGATTGAAGGGACAGTCATTATCTTCGCTATTGTGTTGAAGAAGGACTCGCCTGTCTTCTGGAAGCCCATGCCCTCGTAGAGGGCCACGGCATCACGCATCAGCACAGAAGTACGTAGAACAACATCACTGTAGCCCTGGGTCCTTGCAAACTGGAGGACAGCTCTGATCAGCGCTTTCGCTATTCCCCGTCCTCGGTGCTGTGAGGACACAGACAGGTGAAAGAGCAACAGCTGCTTCCTCTTTAATGAGGGATCCTTGACTGGCAGAGCAGCTGCCATGCCTACCACCTGGCCCTCAGTCTCAGCCACCAAGAAGCAGGAGCCAAGCTCACTGAGGTAGGACTTGGTGATGTCACCCAGGTCTGTGTGTAAACACGTGGCCACAAACTTCTTCAAGGGCTGTCCGGCAAGGAGCCAAAGTAACAAGAGCAGAAAGAAGGCGCACATAATGCCCAGCAGCCAGGAGCCAGACACCAGGACCAGGGCAATGGGTATCCCAAGTAAGAGCAGGAAGGTTCGGGGCAGCGTCAATGCGTGGTAGAATGAGGCGGGGATGTGCTCCTCCATGCCCCTGGAAAACAAGTCCAGGACCTGTTTGTGGTCTCTCTCCTGGTACTGGCGGATGTGATAAGGAGCCATGGGGAGATTTCTGGGTCTCAAATTTGCATCCACAAGGGACAGCCAGACCTGCCAGCACACCGTCCCTGAGCCCTGCAGAAGAGAAGGAAAACCATGTGAGTTCCCTGAGTCCCTTCAACCCTGCTCCAGGCCTCCTAGAAGCCGTGTAAAATTTACACTTGTGTGTTTTCTACTGTCAGCCAGGAAGCAATAGAGCATCACTGGAACAAAGTGTGAGGTCACTAACACATGACCACTCCCTTGGTTTCTCCCTCTGCGTCTTTGTGATTTAGTCATGCCCTTCACCTCTGGGAGCATTTCTGTCTTCCTCTGTAGAACACAGTAAATAACACTTGGTTTCCTCCCTAATAGTGAGGATTTAATATGCTGGCCTATGTGTAGTGCGTGTGTATATAGGCCCTTCCACAGTTCTCCTTACTCAGTTACAGACTCTATGAACTTTCAGTGCCCCGAGACAGTGCCCTGTGGCAGGAAACCTGATATCCAGCTGTTTCCTCTCCAGGGTCCATACATTACAGAATCCTGTGCTCCCAAGTACAAGTTTCAGAGAAACCTCTTCCCTCTAATTAGAAGGTTTAATTTAGTGAAAAATAACAAGCCAAAACATGCCTTCCCCCAGTGAGTCTCAAGGAAGGTTGAGGAACTCCAGGCCCTCAGCCTTACCTCTCCGGTCTTTCACCTGGTAGCACAGAGCAGAGAATCCCAGGACACTGTAGACTCCACAACCAGAAGAACCTGCCGGGACCTGCCCCTCCTCCAGGCAGAAAATTGGGCTGGTGTCTCATTGGCTAGCTCCAGGATAATCATAAACCAAAGGCCATGAACTAGAATGTGACAGAGAAGAAAGGGCCTGTCCATTCACTTTGTGATCCCCATGGAGCTAACCTGGAAGGAAAATCAGGTCCAGGTGGTCCCTGGGTCCTTAGCTTTGTGAGAGAGGGCCCCCACCTCTCTTCCTGATTTATTCCAGCCACACTGTCTCACACACAGCACACTTGGCCCTCTATCAGGACATCCTGGTCCCACGTGTACACATTTTGGGCAACAGTGCAACTCACCCCAAGCTCACATGTCATTGACAAGAGTCCAGGTCCATTGGATCAGCAACAAAGTCCTTTGTGGCAGGGTTCTAGGACACGGTTCTGCACCTGTTCTGGGACAATGAATGCTCTAGATCTGCAGGACCTTTGGGCCCTCTCCTTCAACTATTATGTGGCTTTACATGCTATGCTGCCTTTTCAGCCCCAGAAGTGCTGCCTTCCGGATGACAGGCCCTAGACAGGGGCTAGCGGTGTAAGCTCTGGGGGCTTCTGAGAGCCAAGGAGACTATGCATCCATCTCACATCTTATCTGAGCTGTCCTAGTGGAAGCAATGCTCCTCCTCTGTCCCCAGTCATGACCTGCAGGCTTGTGGAGGTCTTGCTGTCCCCTCCCATGATTCTCTGCACAGGTGGAGAGGAGGTTACAGAGAGTTCTTACTTAGAAGGAGTTTCACAGGAGCTTTGGGGCTAAGGAAAAGTGGGACACTCTCACAGCAGTGACAAGGACGGGGGTGGGGGGGATACTGAGAAGTCAGGAGGGAGGAAGGATGGTTGGTGCCCTGAGCAGTGAGGGAAACTGGTCAGATGCTCCTGAGGCAGGACCAAGGCACAGCCCTTGGGAAAGGATAGTCCCCAAGTGAAGGAGTGGCTGGTACTAATAGAGACCTGGTTATACAGGACTCACATGCTAGCCAAGTAGTACAGACATCACATTCCAGAAGCACATTAGGCCATGAATATGCTTTTAGTTGGGATGCTAAATGACAGGTGCAGCGGTGAAACCACATTTGTCTTTATTCACTTGGAACCTGAGTCAGCCATAGAAGAAAAAGGAGCTGTGCATACAGGTGTGTGGATGGTTCTAGCAAGACAAGGGTCCCCCGGTGTTCAGGCTGCATGCTGCAGAAGCCTGTGGCCAACAAGATGGCCTAGAAATTAACACTAAGTGCTGCCTCCCAAGAGGAACCGTGGCACAGAGCTGAGTTGGGGACAAGTTCAAAGGGTATTTTTAATTGCTAAAGAGTCTAGTTTTCCCACAATTTTGTAGACCTAGTGGCTCTACTGTTTGCAAGGGAGCCTTGTTTAGCGTTGACTAAGAAGACATAAAAAGCAGTGTGCCTTATGGTCTGTCCATTAAGACACAGGTCAGACAGTGAAATCTCCACCATCTTGAGGTGCACTTGGGGCAGAAGTGACAAGGGTCACCACCACTCAGACAGCAATGAGCAGAAGGATGGCCTCAGAGATGCAGAGGACAGTCTCAGAGATGCAGAGCAGAATGTCTTAGCTCGTGTAGGGAGTGGCTAGTTCTGGAAAGATTAAGGATAGTCTGTAAGTGCTGCCTGCAGATTCTTCATGAAAAACCAGAGGCCAGAACCCAGGTCCTGGTGGAGGCTGTGGCGATTCAAGATGTTTATCTTCAAGCTAGGGTTCCAGGTTAGCCATTCTCATGATGCTTGTGAGAAAAATGGATGTTAATATAGCAAGTTTCCAACACAGGATGTTATAAGGAGGCAACATAATGAAATGTTGCAAAAGAAGGAGAAATACTCCACTTGCCAGGAACAACTCAGGAACTTCAGGAAGTCCCTGAAACTAACCAGATTGATTACTGAGAGACTCGGTCCTTAGCAGAACTGCAGCCATAGCACAAAGACCTGAGCAGGGTGCATCCCCTTCACCAGTCAGCAGGACATGACTGCCCCTGACCTTAGCCCTAGTAACAGGAAAGATCATGAATACCTCCCCACACAGGGAGAAGCCAATCAGAAATGGACAAACAACTCCACATGTTCTTCTGCTGAGCCTAAGGTGTTGCAACTTCCCTAGACCCAAAATAGCCAATCAGCTCAGTCCAAATACCCCTAACCAGGGCTTGAGCCAATCCCAGGTCTGTAACTATGCAGTTTTGGAATCCTCCAACCTCCCTTGCCCGTGTCTAACCACAATAAAAGTCCCTACCCCATGGTGCTCGAGGTCTCTCCTGATCTGCTGCTGCCTCAGATGGACAGAGAGGTTCAACTTTACTTGCAATAAAGACTCTCTGCTTTTGCATTGGATCAGGTCGCTTGGTGGTGTTTTGGGGATCCAGACTTTGGGTACAACAGCTACACTTGCCTCCTCAAGCATATATAAGTGAGCAGTAAGCAGACTGCTGAGAGACTCTAAGATAAGCTGAACAGCCTGGAAGAAATGAAGATCAGCCAAGTTGCCTAGAAGAGATTTGGATCTACAGAGACACCTGAAAAGAAACCTCTCCAACCAGTTGAAGTGTTGGTATGAAGTTTGCTAAAGTTTTCCTGTTTTTGTGACCTGTCACCCAAGATGGGGTGGGTTTTGATGATTCAGCTGTTTCAGAATCATTCCTGCTCCTGTAAGTAAACCATTCACCAATATTTCTGTACACGGACCAATAAAACTCATTGGTTCACTAGGCTGGACTTTGATGGTGCCTGTACTTTGGTCTGTCATCAGCTCTGTTCGTGGGAAGTAGGTGTAGAGGGGTGTGTGTGTGTGTGTGTGTGTGTGTGTGTGTGTGTTTGAAGGGACTCTAACCAGTCTGAGCATGACAAACATAACCTGCGGGGGCAGGGAGTGGGGGAAAGACAGAAGGCGTGGTTAAATGTGTCACATGTATTTGACCCTTGGATGCAAACCCAGCAGGGGTAGCCGGAGGAGGAGCTGTGTAAGCCAGTGTCATTGTTGCTCCCCAGAATTGGGAAAGACAAACAAGGCTATGAGTTGATATGGAGGTGGTATCTTTGGTACAATCTACCCACCATTCAGAACCCAGCCTGCTCTAAGACTTCAGCCTCATTTGAGGAGAACCTGGTAGGTCACAGGCTCTGTCTGTGGCCTCCTGCTGTCAACCTCCTACTTCAGCTCATTCCAATCTGTGCCTGCTCAGAAGCCTGGAGCTGGCGTGGCTCATGGCCACTCCTGGTTTTGTTGTTCTGTTTTTCTGGCTTCACTGCAACTCCATTCAGTCACCATGGAGAGCAAAGCATGGCCTTCTGGGTCAGTTGCTTTGGGGACAAAACTGAGATTCAACACGACTGCCTGTCCTAGATGCCTTCACAGCCCTTTGTGGCTGGGCCAGCACTTTGCCCTCCCTCCCACCCTCTGCCCTAGAGACTGGCCTGCTGTACTGCCAGAGCCAGAGCAGCAAGAGGCCACTTTGCAGCCTTCTCTTGGGTTTGGAATGTGGGGTGGGATGGGAGGCCTGGAAGAGATTGGGGGATGGAGGGAAAGTGACTGGTGCTTTGCTTGGGACCTCCTTGAGGACAGGGTCTATTCCCAGCTGTCCAGGTTCCCCAAACCTTCCCTCCCTTCCTGCCCCTGATGACTTCAAACTTCTGCTCATCCCCTTCAGGCCTGTGGCCACAGCATGCTGGCTGGCTTCAGAGCAACCTGTGTGTGAGTCCTGCCCTTCACCGTGCTGCCCAGCTTCTCATCACTGTCATCCTGTTCCTGGGAATTCACTTGCTAAGTGAAAGGTTTGTTTTGGTAAAGGGTTTTGGAGGTCCTAGTCCAGTTCTAGGCCTAGCTGCCCTGAGGGCTGTCTTTAAAGGAGGGACACAGGTGACTCAGACACTAGCTCAGAAGATTGTCCTTAAGACCCTGGACTGGATAGGCTGGGAAGAGAGGAGTCCCTGGTGAGTGGCCTCTGGATTTCTCTTAAGAGAGCACCAAACTAGATCCAACTTGTATCACAGCAAGGGCTGAGCAGCTCCGGGCTGGCTAAAGGTATGATAGTTTGAATAAAAATAGCCCCCATAGACCCATAGAGAGTGGCACCATTAGGAGGTGTGGCCTTGTTAGAGTAGGTGTGGCCTTACTGGAGGAAGTGTGTCACTGTGGCGGTGGGCTTTGGGGTCTCATATGCTCAATCTCTGCTCGGTGTGGTACACAGTCTCCTTCTGCTGCGTAGGGATTAAGATTTAGAACTCTCAGCTCCTTCTC